ATGTCTTATGTCTCCATGCTATCAGTACATTTACCAGTGAATCAGACAGTTTCTTTCATTTACAGCAGGTAAGTTCCATTCCCAGTGAAAACAGAAGTAAATTTTTGTGACTCTGGATCCTCTTTTTATTCATTAGTACTCCACTGGAAAGTCAGATTACCATCTGTAAGTAACTGATCCTGAATAATTTCAATGACTCATCCCCCCAAAACTCTTACACACAGATTCAAAGTCATGCTGCTTTCATTAAAAGAATAAATATAATGATGTCTATCTGCTATATCAAATTCATCTTCCTCTGACCTCTCATGGAATTAGAAATCTTGACCTGTCACAGTGCTAGTGACAGATGTGGCCCTTAATTGTTAAATGACTGTTTCAGCCTCTTCACGTGTAGGATAACTTTCTAGAATGAGGAGGATTCTTGGAGCATGCTGAATTATTCTGCAGTCTTTCATTCAGCTTTTTAAGAAGCTGCAATAGAAAAGCAGCTTTTGAACTTTACACTGAAAAGGTGAATGCTTTATCATTTGGATAAGTAACTTCTAGACTCCAATACAAGGCAGACTCCAGTACAACACAAGTCTCGTGGACAGTTTGTCCACAATAAAGGAAGTTAAAAGGGGCTTAGATGCTCGCTCATCCCCAAACAGGGCTTTTAAAGACATTCAAGTATAGAAGATCCTACAGAGAACGAAGTTGTTAACAAAGACAGTAGTTGTCCAGGGTGGGACATTTTGTAATTGCACATGATGCTTTTCTGAAGAACATAAAAATGCACTCATGAGAGAGACACAGTCTCTTGACATCTCCTGAATTTTTTAAGACACCAATCCTACTTTTAGGGTCACAATCACCAGAATTAAGGGGTTTGGGTTTTTTGAAGGCATTCAGGCACAATGTCTTTTTTTCAAAGTAATACATAGCAAATAAAAAAATAGCTAATAAATAGTTAGAAGTAGCAGTTATGGTACAAGATAACTAATTCAGCAATATACAAATGCTTAAAAAAACTGCTGTTAGAAAATAAGTATCTTTTAAGCACGTTTAGCACTTTTAGCAACTGGCATACAAAGGAATGCATACCTGCACAGAGAAAGCTATGACTAATTTTGTAAGAAAAAATAATTATTAAACCCAAAACATTACACTCAATAACCAGCAATTACACACAACAGCCTTAGACCAAGTATGGCAACTGAAAAGTAGGTGACTTTTCAAAGTTCATCTGGAAAAATCCAAGACTGCAGTATTTTTAGTCATTATTGATGTGCAAGGGATGTAGCCTTCAGTATTTACAATATCACAGCTTGGTAAATCATTACTTACTCGATGTTGTTAAATTATCACCTGCAAAATGAATGATGTGCAACACGTAGTAAGATAGTAACAAGAGTATACTGGCCAAAACAAAGACTAACCTTACAAAACTCCAAGTTCAAAAGATTGCTAGATTTTAATTTATTTATTTATTTTAAATTCTGAAGTTGCCCATTTACCTGAAAGAGAGAGCTCTGTTTTTCTGTACCCGGTGCTTTTTCTATCCAGGAATCCAGTGGTTTCAGCGTATTGGTATTCTGAGTAACAACAGGAAACTTAGCTGCCAAGGTTGGTCTGCTGGATACATGCAACTGTTGTTCTTGTTGCACTATCTGGAGTTTTTTCAGTAACTCTTGAGGTGAAATCACCCCAGAATTGGCTGCTTGATTGCCAGAGAGAGAAAGTGGCTGTCTAGGAAGTTTGGATTGTTCTTTACCAAGTGTCTGAGACTCTAAAGTCTGGCCTGGTAGGGAACCATTGAAATATACCAAAGGTGGCTGGCTCATATTGTTTACCGGTGCTGCTGGTGCTCTAACAGCTTGCTGAACACAGAAGCTGTTGAGTTCACAGATCCTGTTGCACTGGAGTCCATTTTAGTCATTGACCCTGACTGACCTTGTAATTTCTGTAATAAGCTCTGAGTGCCAGCAGTATCCTGAACTACATGAGATGTTGCAATACCATGAGAAGTCACAGGTTGAAAGAGTCCTGTGAAAGTCTCACCCACAGGGTGGATATTGCCATTTTCACAGAGTCGGTTCTCAGGAAACTCAGCAAGGGGATGAAGGTCTGTTCCACGCACCATAAGCTTCTGAATGGCAGGGCAAAGCTGTTTCTCTGCAGAGGGCGAGTGCCTGCTAGGTTCTTCGTAGGACAGTGAACGTACCACACCCTGCCTAACAGGAAGATTCTCTTGATGCTGTTTATTAAGCGGTTCTGAGACATCTGGCTTTTCTTGTTTTCCAAACAGTGCTGTCAAAGACAAGTGCTGTGGTTCAGGATCCACATTCTGTGAGGGGACAAAGGAAAAAAGTAAACAAAGTTCCCTCATGCACAAGTTACTTTAAGTGGTGGCAATATTTAGCCAGCAGTATTCAAGGAAAAGCCGAGAAAACTGCTATGCTCTTTTCTCCCAAGAGAATTTTTAATAGTTTTGTCACATAGGAAGGGCAAGAAGACAGTTGTCAAGCTGCTAATGTGGGAGAAAACCAGTGAATCTGAGAGATAGCAGTGGCTTCACTTTAAATACCATGAAAGAGCATCTTCCCTTTCAGCCATCAGTACAATATTAGTAAGAGACAGAAATCTCCCCTCATGTAAAGTAGGGCCACTTCTTGTGCATCTCCCTGTCACAGTGGAACTCAGTTTTTAGGATTTTGCAGTGTGATTTAGCATGAAGATGTATCAAGAGACTTTTCTTTATTTAGAGTAACTGAATTCACCTAAAGAAAAAGAACACAAAAAATGTGGTCCAGCAATTGACTAGACGAGCTTGCAATCAAAGCAGCATCTGAAAATGGAAAGACTAGTATTTCTTTGTTGCATCAGGATAGTACGCCTGTAATTTACATGCTTCCACATCACACGGTGGGGGTTGGGGCTTTTTATAAAACAGATTAGTCTTTCATTAAAATAATTCCTTACTGTGGTTCCACCTCAAATTCTTGCACTGACCTTCTGACTCAAATATTCCTACACGGCTGCTCGATTACAGCTGCACTAGGCAGAAAACACACAAAACATTTTACCTTGCTTTGCTGAGATATTCGTTGATGCTGATTTTCACTAGGCTTCACTGGAATTGGTTTGATTAGGTTGGGGTTGTTATAAATTGCAGAGGAACTGGTTATTTGTTTTGGCTCTGAGCAGGTCTTACACTGCAACAGAAAAGAAGTATTTTTTAGTAAGTGGGACAATATCTTTTCCCATAGTTCTCCAGACATAGCCAAGTACTCCATAACCAAAAATATTAGTTGCAGGACTGATTATGAAATGTTATGCTATTGAAAGAACTGTAACAACTGCAACCTAATTTTCTAAAACCACAAAGCATATGTAAAAATAAACACTTGATCCCAAGATTCCGAGCATGAGGCTTCCCTCTAATTTAAATCTCAGTTCTCTTTCTTACCTTCTGCTTTTCCAGCACTTCAAAAAAAAAATTTAAAAAAGCACCTTAGAAACCAAGCAACAGACATGCTTTTCCTGCATCAGTAGGCAGCTAGAAGTAGTTAAGATACATGAAGGATTAATGTGCCCATAAAGAACATTTAAAATGCTTTTTGTTAAAAACTGGAATTATAACTCAAACTCTTTTATATAAATATTCCACATTGTGGGAACTTTGAGGATGCATATACCTGCACAGAAAAATAATTAAAAATTTAATCAGTTTGTAGAATCAGTATGTTTTCTTATTAAATATGACAGGATTAATAACAGTATTTATAAAAAGATGGGCAGAGACAGATGACAAAGTGATCAGGGACATGGAATGACTGACATATGAAGAGAGAAGGACATGAATTAATTCAGAAAAAATGCACAGAAAATGCTGCATGAAAGAGAAATAATAAATGGAATAGGAAAAGGTAAATAAGATGGTCTTATTTACGTCGTACAAAAAATAAGAATATAGTCAATTAAACTAAAAAAGCATTGCGTATAAATAGCATTGGTATATACAAGGAATGCTATTGTCAGTAAAAAAGAAAACAGTTTATTGGAAGTCATTGTTGCTGCATACAATTGAAACTAAGAAACTGGAAAGATTTGTTAAAGAATTATCTAACAAAAACTAATCCTAGCTAACAAGAATATTCATAGTTAATTATCTGAATTTGATCGGCTCTAAACTTTATGCCGCAGGACTAATGGTTGGGTAAGGAATGATCAGTTTTGGTTTCTCATTCTTTCTTCCGAAGAGCCCAGTCTTGTTCATTACTGGGGACAGAACTCTGGACTGGACAGACTGCCATACAGACACACAGCAGAGCCACTGCTGTGCAATTATAAAAATGGCAGTGTCCTTTCCAGAATTGCATCCTTAGGATGCAAATGCGTTAGGTGAGAAAATAACCTCCACTCTCAGATACACAAAACTGATCATTTAATCCATTTCTGACACCTACCGCAACAGTAAACAAAGACACACTGGTTCCAAGGCTGCTCAGTAAAACAGAACTTGAGTTCTTGAGGGGATTCGATGGGCTCTAGGAGGTACTCAGTGCCTTCTTTGCAACATTTGTCTTCAGGAATCCCAGGCCCCTGAGGCTGGTGGGAAAGTCTGGAGTGATGAAGACTTACCCTCAATAGGGGAAGATCAGGTTAGGTAGCATATAAGCAAAACGCACATACACAAGTCTGTGGGACCAGATGGGATGCACTCATAAGAACCGAGAGAGCTGCCTCTCTCATTGTGAAACCACTCTTTATTTTTGAAAGGTAAAGACAATTGGGGGAGGTTCCCAAGGACTGGAAGAAAATAAATCTCAGTACTATCTTCCAGAAGGGCAAGAAAGAGGATCTGGGGAACTTCAGGCCGGTTTGCCTCACCTCGATCCCTGGGAAGGTGATTAAACAAATGGCTTCCTACTGGAAGCTATTTCTAAACATATGAAGCACAAGAAAGGGATTGGGAGTAGACAGCATGGATTTACAAAGGGGAGACCATTCTTGATCAACCTGATAGCCTTTTACAGTGAGATGACTGGCTCAGTGGATGATGGGAGAGCAGTGGATATTGTTTACCTTGACTTTTGCAACGCTTTTGACACTGTCTCCCACAACATCCTCCAAGACACACTAATGAAATGCAGACTAGGTAAGTGGACAGTGAGGTGGATAGAAAACTGTCTGATCTGCTGGATTCAAAATATTGTTGGCATGAAGTCCAACTGGAGGCCAGTCACTAGTGGTGTACCCCAGGGTTTGACATTGGGGTCAACACTGTTTAACATCTTTATTAATTACTTGAATGCTGGGGCAGAGCAGGCTTGCAGACAATATGAACAGGGATGTGTAGTTAATAGACCAGATGGTTGTGCTGCCATTCAGAGGGACCTTGACAGGCTGGAGAAATGGGCTGACAGGAACATGAAGTTTAACAAAGGGAAACTGAGGAAGAACAACCCCATGCAGTAACAGGTTGGTGCTGACCTACTGAAAAGCAGATTTGCAGAAATGGACCTGGGTGGACAAGAAGTTGAATACAAATTGGCAACATGTCCTTGCGGCAAAAGAAGGCAACAGCATCTGGATTGCATTAGGCAGAGCATTGCCAGCTGATCAAGGGAGGTTCACCTCTACTGAGCACTAGTGAGACCACTGGTTAGACCCCCCTACTGAGCACTGCAGTGCTACATCCAGTTCTGGGCTTCCCAGCACAAGAAAGACCCAGACACACATGAGGGAGTTCACTGAAAGTCTATGAAGTTGATTTAGGCACCTGTCAAGCAAGGAGAGGCTTAGTTTCCAGAAGGGAAGGCTCAGGATATAATATCAATGTGTACAAATACCTGATGGGAGGAAATAAAGACAACCAAGCCAGACTCTTCCCAGTGGTGCCCAGTGAAGACAAGAGCCAAAAGACTAAAACCAGAATATACAAAGTATTGTTTAAACTTAAGAAAAAAACTTTTTTTTGCTTTAAGGATGTTTGAATCCTGGAACAGGTAGCCCAAAGAGGTTGTGGAGTCTCCATCCATGGAGATATTTAAAACCTGACTTAACGTGGCCCTGAGCAACCCACTTTAGCTGATACTGCTGCAAACAGGGAGGTTGGACTAGACTATCTCCAGAGGTCCCTTCCAATCTCAATGATTTTGTGACTCTCAGCTGAAAAATCATCTTTGGGTGTTTGGACAGTCAAGGACTTCTGCAATGAATTTCTGAAGACACAATCTTGCAAAGTAGAAGTGTAGTTCCACTCATGTACCTGGCTTTCTTCTATTGTATAACAATTTTTGGTTCAAATGTTGCTGTTAGAAATAACTTCAAAGCATAGAATCATAGAATCATAGAAT